AATGGGCCTGGCTGTTTCTCATATAACCAAAATAGGCCTATTTCAGCAATTCTACTCTTGGATTTTCACCCAAGGGATATATGAAAGCATATTTCATGGGAAAAAAAAAAAAAAAAACACCTTGTACAAGAATGCTAATAGTTTTACTCATAGTACCAAAACAGTAAACAACACAAGTACTCATTAATAGGAGAATGTGTAAGCAGACTATGGTGTTTCATACAATGAAATACTATCAGCAATTTTTTTAAAAAGATGTATGCAACAACATGAGTGAATCAAAAACATCATGCTGATTGAAAGAAACTTTCCCTAAAAGAGTACATTATACCTGATTGCATTTGTATAAAGTTTTAAAATAGTATAAAGTAATGTATAGCTTTCTTAAAAAAGTCAGAACAGCAGTTGCTTCTAGGTATGTGGGACCAGGGATTGACTTAGAAGGGACATAAACGAACATAGGTAGTATGCACTTGTCAAAAGGTATCACACAGCACACTTAAGATTTTTACATTTCACTTCAGGTAGGTTTTACTTAAAACAAAAATTATATAAAGGGTCACTGAATTCCAGTTAATGATACACATGCTGAAGTGTTTGGAATGAAGTGTACTGATGTCTGCAACTTACTTTAAAATATAAATAATAAGGTAAATAAGGTAAAACAATTAATATATATATATATGTATACACATATATACTCCTCAACAGAGTATAGTAGAGGCATAAAAATTGATAAATACATCAATATAACAGAAAATAGATCTCTGAATGGACTCACAATTACAATTGACTTTTGACAAAGGTGCCAAAGCAAAGTGTTAATTATAGCCTCTAGGTTGGGTGGGTAAATGGATGCTTAATTTTATTTCAACTATCCTTTCTGTATAAAAGATGTTTATATTAAATATGAATTTAGCAAAGATATAGGGCACTAGGTCAATATATAAAATTGTATCTGTATATAAGCAAAAAAATTGAAAACTAGTTTTACAATGGCATCAAAAACCATCAAATACTTAGGAATAGATTTAATGAAAAAGGTATATGAATCCATATACTGAAAAATACAAAAATATCAATGACAGAAATTAAAAGAAAGTTTAAGTAAATGGAGAAATATACTATGTTCATGGAGTAGAAGAATTAATATTGTTAAGATGTCAATTCTCCCCATATTGATTGATAGATTCAGTGAATTCCAATCTAAATTTCAGTAGCTAGCTGGCTCTGTGATTTAAATGGAAATGCATAGAAGCTAAAATAGCCAAAACAATCTTGAAAAAGACAAAATTGGAAGAATTATACTGCCTGATTTCAGGATTTATTATAAATACTTACTGTGATCAAGGAAGACTGATATTGGCATAAGAACAGAATAATAGATCAATGGAACAGTATAGAGAGCACAGAAATAGATCCACATATATATGTTCAGTTGACTTTTGACATAATTGCCAACACAGCCCAAAGGATATTCTTTTCAACAAATGGTAATGAAGCAACTGGATATTCATATTTTAAAAAGTGAATCCTAACCCTTATATAATCACATATACAAAATTTAATTTGAAGTGGCTAATAGATCTAAATATAGAAGCTAAACCATAAAAGTTCTAGAAGAAACTTTTAAAAAAAATGAATGTTATTGTATATATTTGAGGTTTACAACATGATGTTATGAATACATATAAATAGTAAAATGGTTGCTATAGTGAAGCAAATTAACATAGCTATCATCTCACTTTTTGTCATGTGACAAGAGCAGCTTAAATCTAACACACCTTTATTAACTATAGTCCTCATGTGGACATTAGATCTCTAGATTTCTTTATCCTACATATTTACAACTTTGTATCTTTTGACTTACATCTCCCCATTTCCCAGAAGCCACAGAAGAGCGCCTGCCTGGGTCCCTTCAAGGTGGCCTTGCTTTCAGGGTTCAGGTTGTGGGCATGGCTTCAGCAACACACCCACAATGTGAAAGTTTAAGAGCCAGTAGTAGTTACAGATCCTGGGGAGAGTGCCACATGTCTGAAGGCACCACACACACACACAAATACACATACACCCCAGTTGAGGAGCGTAAGCAGGGAGAGGGAAGAGAGCTGACAGCTAACCATGTATGGGGTGGCATGTATGTGGTGGAAATGGGGTGGCTGTTATGCTAAGTTCATGGGCAAATGTCTAAATGGTTCCTTTAAAGGAAGCAGCAAAAAAGTGGGGAGCCCAGTCTGCTAGCTGCTAGGTGGGAGAGATATCGCTAAGTTCTTTTTTTTTTTTTTTTTTCACCTCTAAGTTCTTACCTCTGGCCTCTGGCTCACACCATTTTGGTGTGGTGTAGAACTGGAAACTGTGTCCAGGGTGACTGAGCCCTGTCTCTTGCACAGGAAAGCTAAATCTGCATTCAAAATGAATGTCAAGTCAAGGCAACATAAAATTATAAGGATTCACTATAACATATAAGTGAAATCATGTAATATTTTTCTTTCCATGTCTGGCTTATTTCACTTAGCTTAAGGTCCTCCAGATCCATCCATGTTGTGGTGAATGGCAGGCCCTCATTCTTTTTAAAGGCTGAATAATATCCCATTGCCCATACATACACCATACTTTTTTATTTATGCATGCATCCAGCAATGGACACTTAATTTGTTTCCATATCTTGGCTATTATGAACATGCTCCAGTGAACATTGGAGTGCAGACATCTTTACGAGGTTGTGATTTTATCTCCTTTGGGTATATACCCAGAAGAGAGATTACAGACTCATGTGGTAGCTCTATTTTTAATTTCCTTAGGAACCTCTATACTATTTTTCATAATGGCTGCACCAATCTATTTCTCCACCAACTGTGTAGAAGGGTTCTTTTTTCTCCACATACTTGCCAGCATTTCTTATCTCTCATCCTTTTGGTAACAGCCATCCTGATGTGGGGTGATAACTCATAGTGGTTTTAATTAGCGTTTCACTAATGATTAGTGATGTTGAACACCTTTTCATATAACTGTTGGCGATTTTTATGTCTTCTTTGAAGAAATTCAGGTCTTTAGCCCATTTTTAATTGGGTTATTTGTTTTTCCTCTATTGAGTTGTAAAGGTTCATTGGATATCAATCCCTTAGAAGAAAACTTCTGGGAAAAAGTCTTCCAGACTCTATAGTAGGCAAAGATTTCTTAGAGCACAAAAAGGCACCCAATACTATTTTAAAAATTGGTAAGTTGGATTTCATCAAAATTTAAACCTCTTGCTCTCCAAAAGACATCATTAAGAAAATGGATAAAAAGAAAGCCATACACTGGGAGAAAATATTTGCTACATATATAGTTGGAAAAGGACTTGTATCTAAAATATAACACTGTTACAAGTCAATATAAGGGGACAATCAATCCAATTTAAAAAGGCAAAGGGTTGAACAAAGACTTTAGAAAGATGATATATGAATGGCAAATAAAAAGATGAAAAGACACATCATTGGTCATCAGAGAAATATAAATTAAAACCACTATGAGATATCACGTCTCACTCACTCATGAAATGACTGACCATAAAAAGGCTAAACATTGGTCATACTAAATGTTGGTCAGAACTCTGATACACTGCTGATGGGAACATAAAATGGAGGGACTGCTTTGGAAAAGAGTTTGGCAGTTTCTTGCAAAGTTAAATGTAGACTTACTGTGTGACTCAGAAAAAAATATGCCCACAAAACCTTGGACACAAACATAAAGCGGTTTGCCCCTAACAGCCAACTGCTAGAAACCACCTATATATCCTTTGCAGGTAAATGGTAAGCAAATTATGGTATATTTATACAATAGAATTCTAATTAGCAATTAAAAAATACCATCTAATGATGCACTCAGCATCGTGGAAAACTCTCAGTAAAAATGTGCTGAGAGAATTAAGCCAGACAGAAAAGAGTACTATCTCCCATCTCAGTACTAACCAGGCCCTACCCTGCTTAGCTTCTGAGATCGAGCACGTTCAGGGTGCTCTGGCCATAAACAAGAGTACTATGTGTTTGATTATATAATGTCATAGAAACAGCCTAACTAATCTATAGTGACATAGTGGTTACCTGGTATAAGGTGGGGCAGGGAAGGATGAAGATAAGGGATTGACCCCAAAAGAGAAAAAGGGAATTTTCTAGGGTGAAGAATTGGGTTAGGGGTTCATGAATATATACATTTGTCAAAACTTAAACTGTACACTTATAATGTGCACATCTTATTGTATATAAATAACACCCTGAAAAAGTTTTTTCAAAAAAATAAATGTGAAAACTGTAAAAAATAAACATTAACAGCAACTAAGACTAATTTTGGAGACAATTTTTCTTGGTAACACTTAGGGAGACTTTCATGGTTTTGGATCCATTTTTCTAAACGTGTGTTTGGCTTGTACTATGTAAAGCTTAAAAGCTTATTAATGCTAAAGTCACATCTAAACCTCTTCCCCACATTAAAACTGTCAGTCAAATTTTGTTACATGAATGAAGTACTTTACCTTAAATCTGTCAAGATAATTGCTAAGATTAACTTAAATGGAAAGAAAAATAAAAGTAAAATGTAGGACAGGAAGTTATTTTTAAATTAAAGAACAGTTTCTATAAGGAATTGTAAAGCAGTATGGTGATGTGATATATTGGCTTTTCTATAATATCTTTCCATCTTGGCAATGTTGGGTTGGGCTTAACTCCCACCAACATACTCAGGAAACTAAATGTGTCAGTTGTGCCTTCAGCTGCAAGGAATAAGAAACCCTGATTCAACTGACTTAAACAATGAGGCATTTATTATCTCATATAACAAGAGATTCTCCAGGGACAGTGAATTCACTGGCTCTCCAGGATCATCTTTCTGCGTTTGTGCTCAGTGCAGCGCCCCTCAAAGCTCCAGGACGGTGACTGTGGAGCTCTGACCACATCTGGTAAAAAGACATCCTATCTCTCTGCTGGCTTCCTTTGAGTCATCAAGTCACCTCTCCTCTTCCCCAGCCAGAATTTCATCACATTCCCGCACCTACGGTAATTCATCAGCAAAAGAAGCGAAACCCACAAGATGGACCTAAACCAGCTCTTTTTAGAAGGTAACCAAAGAGAAGATTGTAGAGATCTGACCAGAAGGGGGATGGGAGAAATAACAGGAGGGGAAGGGAGCTCGGTAAACCACCAAAAAAGCAAGTGCGACACTGGGTCGTGAAGAAAATAAATTCGATTCCTAATGTTCTATTAATTTTCCGTTTAACTTTCGCATGAATACCTCTCTCTGGGGGCTTTTTTCAACCCGTAAAGGAAAATCAAATTGAAAACCACCAGCAGGCAAAGCCGGTCTCCCAAATCCTCTGCCCCCTTTAAGGGGCTCAAGACCATTTGCTGACTTTGGGACTAGCACAGAGGAAATTAAAGCAATTCTCGCTCCTTACGTGCTATTTACTGCTCTCTACATCACTAAACCGTATTTATTTCTTGGTTTACAGCACCGTGATTGTAGAGTAAGTGCTAAGCAGCAAATAACTTCCCCGCTGCCGAAATTGGTAGTGATTTTGCTCTCAGTGGCACGCATTACATGACCCTTCAATGCTGGTAAATGGCCGTGGGGTTTTTTTCTATCTCTAATTGCCCCGATGTGTAGGACTGGAGATTGGTAGCTGTTCCATTTCACAGACAGACAACTTTACATGGCGATCTGAGATACTAAACTTTGCAGTATTCTTACTACGTACTACATGCTACTAGCCAATGTCCAAATAGTTTCCCACTAAACCAAATATGTACTAAGAAATCTTTTGTCTAAACTACATGTTTTCAAGCGTGACTATATTACAATCACCTGGGAAGCTATGAAAAGTTCTGACGCCATGAACCTATGCCTAGTAATTTATATTCAATTGCTCTGGAATGTAGCCTGGGCTTGGGTTTTGTTTTGTTTTGTTTTATTTTGTTTTAAGCTTCCCAGGTGATTCTAATGTGCGTCCAGGGTAGAAAACCATGCATTTAATGCAGTGGTTCTCAAAGTGTGTTTCCTGAACCAACAGCATCAGCATTACCTAAGAACTTGTTAGAAATGTGACTTTTCAGGCCCAGCTCCAGACCTACTGAATTAGAAGTTCAGTAACCTGTGTTTTACCTGTCTTCCAGGAGATTCTGATGTATGCTCAAGTTTGAGGACCCCTGCTGTAAAGGCAAATCTTTCCATTTCTAAAATTCTATGATTCTACCTGGCCTGATAATCTTCACCAACTCAAAGCCATCATCAACTCCACCATCTTCTCATTAAGCAGACTTCTTGGTCTTGAAAAGGAGACGTAAGTCCTTGAAAATAATTAGTGATATGGCCAATCAACTTCATGGTATCTGAGCCTTGCCACTTCCTCTGAACCAGCTCTGCAGATTTCAAAACTCTCTGGGCTCCAACAGGGCTGGTCACATGTGGCCTATGAAAAGCTCTCTCTCTACTGTGCTGCTGCCTGGGGAATGTCCTCTGGCTCTGCCTCCACACCTACTTGATCAGCCTGCCAGGCCAAGAGCCAGCTCTTTACATGGGCACCCTCACCTCTCTCTTATGGCCTCTCCCTGCTTTGGCCTTAATGCTTTTGACCAAGCCCTTAACTCCTGGTGCAGTGATGTCATATTCTCTGTACCCTATGCCTGTTACCAAGGCCAAAAGTACCTACTCCTACACCCAGCCTCACCATCTATTTATCCAGCAGGTGAGTGTGGGTATCACCTTGATTGACTTGCACTTATTACAAGATGAGAATCCTGAAGAGCAGTTTGGAAACCACATATCTCCTAGTTTGGCCACTAACACTACGTGCTTAGATCTCTTTTGCTGGTCCCCAGTTGCTGCGGTAAAACCAATGAGTCTTTAGTTGTGGCCCTGATTGAGTCCATGAAATAACCTACTAGGAGCTCTAGTAACTGCTCTGCTTTCATTCTCTAGTCCCACTCTGGGGGCCCTAAGTCCCTATTATGGACTGATTTGTGTCCCACTAAATTCGCATGTTGAAGTTATAACCCCCAGTACCTTAGAATGTGCCTGTGTTTAGACACAGGGTCTTTAAAGAAATAATTAAGTAAAAACAAAGCCATGTGAATGAGCCCTAATTCAATATGACTCGTGTCTTTATAACAAGAAGACATTAGGGTACAGATATGCACAGAAGGAAAACCATGTGAGGACACAGGGAAAAGGCAGCCATGTGCAGACCAAGGACAGAGCCATCAGAAGAAACCAACCCTGCTGACACCTTGATCTATTTCTAGCCTCCAGAATTGCGAAGAAATGACTTTCTGCTATTTAAGTCACCCAGTGGTCCTTTATATGGCAGCCCTAGCAAACTAATCCAGTCCCTAATGCTGGTTTCTGGCCTGTGATCCAGCTTCTGCCCCTGTTCCCAGTTCTCCTTTAAAATCCCATAACAAATTCTTTAAGGAGGAGGAAGCAGCAGCAGCATCTATCTTTATGGACTTGTAATGAAAGACATGAGAGTCAGAGATTCCTTCAAAATTCCTGCAGAGAGTAAGGTGTATGATGAGCACGCATGGGGCATGCATATTTTTCTTTGTTTGTCTTATGCTACTGGCCCTTCTTTTTATTTTGCATTTTCTCCCAAATAAGATACAAACCCCAGAGTTCTCCAATTCTGGATGTGACTTTCTATACAAACTGGGACTTGGCTTTACTGTAATCAACAAGCCCTGTTTGAATGTCTGCCGTATACATATCCCCATGCTAGGCCCTGTGAGTTAGAGAGGACTGTTTGATAATAGATATGTGACTGTGTGCATTTGTATATAATCTGCTATCTTGGGGAGATGGTGGCTATACAGAGAACTTGAAAACATTTGTGGAAAATGGAATGAGAAGATAAAAATAAAAAATATAAACTTTGTTTCTCTACATAAGCTCCAGTAAGTTCAAGACACTTTTGTAAGTGATGATATCAGCCGTTCAGTAGTCCATACCTACAGAACTATGGAGCCTGGGAATTTAACCATGTCAGTGCAATCTTTTTGTTCTTAACTGAAGAAAAATGGGTGCCCTTTAAGGATTTGTTAAGATTAGGAAACAAAAAAGAAGTCAGAAGGAGCCAAATCAGGACTGTACAGTGGGTGCCTAATGATTTCCCATTAAAACCCTCACAAAATTGTTCTTGTTTCATGAGAGGAATAAACAAGTGTATTGTTATAGTAAAGAAAGACTCTCTAGTGAAGATTTACTGGGTGTGTTTCTGCTAAATCTTTGGCTAACTTTCTCCAAAATACTTTCATAATAAGCAGATGTTTATTGTTCTTTAGCCCTCCAGAAAGTCAACAAGCAAAATGCCTTGAACATCCCCAAAATACTATTGTCATGACCTTTGCTCTTGACTGGTCCTCTTTTGCTTTGACTGGACCACTTCCACCTCTTGGTAGCCTTAGCTTTGATTGTGCTTTGTCTTCAAAATCATGCTGCTAAAGCCATGTTTCAAATCCTGTTAGAAAGCTTCAAAGAAATGCTTCAGGATTTTGATCCCACTTGTTTAAAATTTAAAAGCTCTGCTCTTGTCTACAGCTGATCTGGGTGCAATAGTTTTGGCACTCCTCAAATGGAAAATTTGCTCAACTTTAATTTTTCAGTCAAAATTGTGTAAGCTGAACCAATTGAGATATCTATGGTGTTAGCTATTTTTCAGCTATTAATTGTCGGTCCTGTTCAATTAGGAAATGAATAAGACAAATTTTTGCCTCAAAAATTGACAAGGATGGCCTGCCACAGTGGGCTTCATCTTCAACACCATCTCATCCCTTCTTAAGTGAGTTATCCCTTTGCAAACTGCCAATTTGGGGGAGGCATTGTCCCCATAAACATTTTGTAAAGCATCAACGATTTCACCACTTTTCTACCCAATCTTCACCATAAATTTGACGTTTGTTTTTGCTTCAATTTTAGCAAATCTCATGTTGCTCTGAAAGGAGTTCTTTTCAAACTGATGTTTTACCCTTCTTAGTGTTTCAAGAAGGGTATATATCCTATTCATCCATGTTATAACAAGTTAGTATGAGGTTATTTCCATGCAAAAAAATTTGAAATCCATGCATAGCTTTTCATAATATACATTTTCCATGAACTTTTTGAAGACCCTTTGTATAGCTGAAAAAAATAATTGTGAGGCTAGATAGAATAAGAAAACCTCCAAATGAATGGTAAAGTCATTTATCAACCAGTATGGTAAGAGAAAAAGCTCCAATTTAGAAGTCATACTTGAAATGGGCCAACTTTGGACAAATGAATAAAAAATGATCTATTTTACATGTGAAATATGAGCAAGGAGCAAGGTTTACTTTGATTTGAGTGCTCTCTCCTATCTCCCCTGCCTAGTGAAATCTTATATGATATTTAAAGCCTGGTATCACTATTTTCTCCTCCATAAATCATTTTCTACTCCTCCAAGAAAAATGTCTTGCTCCTTTTCAATATTTCCAAAAGACTTTTGCACATAAGTATCCAACTTATCACACTGTGTTTTAGCAACTTAATATGTCTATCTACCTGTTCTAGTAATAGTTTTAAGATACTTATGGATAAGCACTGTATTATTGATAAGTCCTCAGTATCTTAGTATCTGACTCAAACTAGGTATCACAAGAGTGATGGCTGAATTTGATCAAAATGAAATTGATAGAGTGGGTGTGTTATCTGAGGGAAAAAAGACTACAAAATAATTCAAAACAGTTTCTACACTGTGGCAAGGACAATCTTTGCAGACAATATGGATTTCAAATAATGCTTCTCTTCTGTGATATAGATTTAAGTTTTACCTTCTTAGAGAATTACTGTTTGACCTTTGGAGGAGTGTATGTGTGCATGTGTGTTCCATTCAAGTGTTCACCATAGGAGATTAAAACGGCCCAGGAAGAAGAGCCAGGCACACATCTGTGCCTCCTGGTCGTGGAAAAAGGTTTCAGGAACAGCAGTTAGAGTGTGAATCCAACCTTGAACTATTCTATTCAAGTCTCTGTTCTAGGCCAAGTCTCTATTCTATTCAAACAAATCCAGGTTAGAATCTCAGTGTAGTCACTTACAGGCTGTGGGATTCTGAATCTCTGTTTCCAAGGCCCTAAAAGGGTAATAATGCCCCCTCAAATGGTTTTTGAAAAGATTTACATGAGATGATGTTTATAAATAATTCAGCACTGTCCCTGTGCTTTTGTGCCTACCGCATAATAAGTGCTCAATAAATGCCAGCCATTGTTTCTAGTCAACATTAGACATCTGAAGCCTGCTGGGGTCAGAGGGACCAGGATAATGCCATTCTCTGTAGAAATAAGCCCATGGGTCATGTTTTTTTGCAAGGAAAGAGTTAATGAATAGACCTTATCGATAGATAATAAAGAAAAACCCGCTGGAACAGAAAAAAATGATGGTCTAAGAGATGGTAAGTAGTTACTTACTGTATTTATTATCCAGAGAGGAATACAGATTATGTATTTCATGAGCCAGATGGGAATAGTTATTTAATCTACAGTAACGACTACTCTAAATGGCTCTATTGAATCTCTACTTGAAAGTGTACTTCAGAAGAGTTGCAGGCTATGAGGGAATAAAGCGAGAAACAAATGTAGTGGTTAAAGGATATTTTTGCTAAATCTTAATTAAACTTGAGATTTTGTACCATTCTGTGTATAATCTTCAAAAGATTTTTTTTTCTGAAAAAGGGACCAGAAAGGGTGCTATAAAATTAGCCTCAGAGCTATGTAGATTTTGAAGGGCCCTTAAGAAAAAAAAAATATGTAAAAAAATAGAGATTTCAATTTGAAGCAAAGAATTGAAATTGCTTTCTGGCAGCCCACACTTCCAACAGCATTGGTACCTACTTGAAATGAACAACTGCTAAAGGAAACAGCTGGTAGAAAGCTGTTACTGCAAAGCAAAGTGCAATATGCATGCTGTAATTAGTTTGCAATCATTACTCAGTCCACTGTTGGAGAAAAACCTTGATTTGATCACACTAAAAGCATTTCTATCAGTGAACAAAATTCAGGACAGTTCTTCCTCCAAATCCAAATAGAAATCTCACCTCCACTCTCACTATGATATTATGATAATTTTTTAATGTGGTCAAAGTGACAACTGGACTATAAAAGGTATGTAAAACAAGAATGTCTGGTTTACCTGGAAGTAAAAATACCCTAAAATAACAGCTGGACATTTCTGAGTGTTTGCTATATGCTAGATGGGAGTTGTCCAAAAGAAATATAATGCAAGCCACAAATGGTAGCCACATAAAGAATGTCAAATTTACTAGTAGCCACATTTTATTTTAAAAAAGAAACAAGTAAAATTAATTTTAATGCCATTATTTTGTTTAATATAGTCTATCCAAAGCATTATCTTTTTGATATATAATCTATAAAAACTTTAACAAGGTTTATTATATATTTTTTTCCTATGGAGCCTTCTAAATCTGGTGCCATTTATACATACAGCACATGTCGATTGGGACTAGGCACATTTTGAGTGCTCAATAGCCACATGTAGCTAGTGGCTTCCATGTTGGAAAGTGCAGTTCTAAATGATTTACATTGATATCCCTTAAGTCTCTCAATAATCTTCTGATCTAATAACTATTACCCTACGTTAGGCATGAGGCAAAGGGAACACAAGAATAAGTAACTAACTCAAGGTCACCAAATTAGGAAATAGTAGACTCAGGAATAATCCAGCAACCTGATTTCTGAGCCTGCCCTTCTTAGCTCTGTCATGTCCTGACTCACGTGTTGATCTGTGCAGCTAACAGATTTTGCTTCCTGACCAACGAGAAAATTCGAAAATGATAAAGATTACCATGAAAGTTACCAAGAGACAAGAAAATAGCCTTCACTTTTAAGCCCTTTCCATAACAACCATCTTATGGGTTAAATAAAAACACATTGTTATGTGTTATGCCTATTTTACAGATCTGGAAACCAAAGCCAAAAAATAACCCCTGTCACTTGCCTAAGGTCACAAAGCTAGAATACATTGAAGCTACGATTTAAGCCTAGGGCTCCTACTCCAGAACCTAAACATTAACTACTGATTTGGTTCTGTTAACAGATCTGACTGACAAAATAGAGAAAGAAACATTCCCCAGAACATAGAAACAGTAATAACCACCAATGACCACAGAGTTGAAACAAGGAAAATGAGCCAACTTAATTAATTCAAGCAATTAAATAGAAAAGAGTATATGCAAGATTGATACTGTTAGTGACGATTAAAATTTGTGAATTTGCTGTGCACTAACTAATGCCTGATAAGGAAGAAATCATAGAGTTGAATAGCTAACCCAGCTTGGCATAGGGGAAATGGACACATAGACTGCCAGCCCTAGATTTCCCCTTTCATGCCCTACTATGGTTTTATGTTCCTTGCTACTTATTTCAAAATTTCCACAATAAGGATCACCATTTAGGATTAGATAATAAAGACCAGCTTATGAAAGCAAGATCCTTAAGTAATCATTAAAAATATACAAAGAAAAGATATCCCAACTACAGTAAGTGTATAAAATGAGTTACAGAATAGTACATATATAGTATGATAAACATTTTTGCTGAAATAATAATAACAAAGAAAACACAGAAAATAGTCTGGAAATAATGCACATCAATGGGTATGGGAGTGTAGAGGAAACTTACATGAAACCTTAATTTCTACATGATATATTTCTGCAATGTTTAAATTTTTATAACCAGTCTAGATTACACTGGTAAACAAAAATGGTAGATGATGGATGGATAGATAGATACATAGATAACAGAGAGTGATGAGAGAGAAACAAACATGCATTTTAAGTGCTCCCAACTTACCTGGGACCCTGCTCTGTAGGGTTGGTTTTTCTCTATATCTCACTAGAAGAGATTAGTTTCTGATGTGTTGTTTGCCACCTTCGGAAACACTGGGCAACAGAACCTGAGAACTGGAAAAAGATACACTTCTGTTGGGGCAAACCACAGAGGTGGAAAAGACTGGCAACAAGGCAGTCTCTAGGAGGAGAAACCAATGGCAAGTCACAGCGGAAAGCAGAG